ATTACTGGCCAGATTATCGGGTGAGAAAAAGAAGTTTAGGGAAAAATAATGCAGCCACCACATGTAATAGGAATTTGTAAGTTTCAGTGTAACATTTTTGTCCATGTGTGGCTCTGTTGCTCCTTCATAGATACGATGGAGGGAGGTGGTTGGAGCCACAATGGGACAGGAAGTGCGTTATTGGCCAGATTATCGGGTGAGAAAAAGAAGCTTAGGGAAAAATAATGCAGCCACCACATGTAATAGGAATTTGTAAGTTTCAATGTAACATTTTTGTCCATGTGTGGCTCCTGTTGCTCCTCCATAGATACGATGGAGGGAGGTGGTTGGAGCCACAATGGGACAGAAAGTGCGTTATTGGCCAGATTATCAGGTGAGACAAAACCTAGAACGGGAAAAAATAATGCAGCCTCCATATGTAATAAGAATTTGTAAGCTGCAATGTTACATTTTTTGGGTTTAGATATGCTTTAGGGTGAGGATTGAAGCCTGGATAGAGCGTTCGGCGGTGAGGGGAAGGGGGCGGAGTCAGTTCAGTAGGTAGTTGCACACTACTGGATGGGTGGGTTACGTGAATTCACCCCCCTTTATTTTAAACCTCAACCATCTTGTTGACGTCAATGTGGTTGGTGGGGGAAGCATCATTTTAATAGAAAAAAGCAAAATTATGAATTCTAAGCGGTACGCCAGCAGAGTTGCTACAATTGTCAGCTTAAGCTAAAATAGCAAAAGAAGTGGGCCAGCTCTATAAGCTTTTTTAATTGGAAGAAGGCCTACCGCTGTGCAGAAGCAGGTTCCTTTTTTTTTATTGTCCTTCTTAATGTTCCGGACTGATAAGTTACATTTTTATCTGCATAAAGCTCTACTGACAGAGAAAAACCGCGGAGAGTCTATTACAGGCTTACGATAAACAACTGCACATGTGGAGTTCAATTTATTTCCACAGAAAAAGTGAGGTGAAGTCCTGGAGTTTTTTTTTTTTTATTTTTTTTTTTTATTTTAACCTCCTGTAATAAAACAGACCCACAAAGTGTCAAGCTATTTCAAAACACAGAGGCTGCCAGACAAATTATTGGCAGCATAATCAGTCGGCAATGCCTGCTACATTTTAATGTTCTTGGCTGTTAATTATTTCATATTGGAGGATCTAGTGCTGCTTCAAACTTTCTGAGTAGAATTTAAATTACAGATGACAAGCCTAGAGCCTTGTAACTCTCGCTATACAAGGGTGTGCTGAGACTTGTAGTGTCTCTGCTACAAGTGTTAGAACACCACTTTGGGCTCATTCACACCATTAATGCAATAATACATCTCAGAATCCATGTTTTACTAAGCATTACTGTAGTGGCAACTTTGGGAATACCAGGTAAAACTCCGGACAGAAACTTGAGGAAAACAAACTTTTTATTAATCGGCTCTGAGTGACCCAGCAAGGGCTCATGCCAGCAAGGTAAGTGGCTTGAAAAAAACATCTCAGAGTATATATATCAGCAATTATGTCACGATACATATATTTCCTCTCACTTTCTGTACATTCAAAAGACTTTCTAAACGGTGCAGAATATGACCTTGTGGTTTCACAGATAGATAAACTTTCTTCAGCTGAAAATAAGAGTACCAGGTGCATACTGGAACACATTGTTACACAGGAAATAAGGGAGGGAGGAAGTGAGCTGATTAACATTTCTAACAGCCTCTGTTCGCAAGGTCAAGTTTAAAGGGGAACTCTGCAATATTTGGGTGCTGCCACATACCACAGTGCACAAAAAGTACTGTAGATGTGTCGCCATTATTATGAATTGGACACCAATGGACACATACAGATGTGAATGCTCTACACGTTTTAGTGCGTAGATCTGCAACAAAAAAAAATATTTTTTTTTTTTTTTTTTTTTCGTCAAATGCGTGCCTTTTGATAATCCTCTCTAATAAATGTAATACTGTAATGAAGAACAGAGAAGAAATCAGCATCAAAGTTTATGTAGACCTGGACAATCAACCTTTTTATTTGCTTCATTTTTGATCTGTTGATTTTATTATTGGAATCATTTTGTTATTATTATACAGGATTTATATAGCACCAACAGTTTGCTCAGCACTTTACAATATAAGTTTTGTTTTATATCTGTTTGCTGAGTGCAAAAAACCTGTTGATCTTTATAGAAATCGTTTGAACTTGTAACTTTCTACGCACGGCTCTTAAGCAGTTTTATCAGCCTTTAGAGTTTTTCGCTATGAACTACAGAGCACCTCCCCCCTATGTTGTGGAGAGGGGTAGTTTTGTATTCCAAATCACGAGGAAGTATCCTAGGGTGAAAACATGGCTCATCCATAGATACAACACAGCGAGTAAGGGCCAGTTTAGACCAGAACACCGTGGGAAACTCGCATTCCGTACGGGTTTCCCTTACCCGCGTTCAAAAATTCACTTCAGTTAGGTTCTGCAGCAGGTGTCACTGTTAATGCAATGACACCCCAAATGCAGGTCACAAATTAGAGGTACGATGCGACCCAGTTGTTCTGGGTTTTATGAAGTACTGCATGCAATACCCTTGCCACATCCCGGTGTGATTCAGCGCACAAATCATTCCAATTGCATCGCACTGAAACACAAGCACAGTGTGAGCAGGTCATACAGTGCTGGTTGACAGATTCCTCCATCCATACAAATTTCTCCTCCATCATTATTATTATTACTATTATTACTATATTTACTGTTAAAAAAATTGAGTTATTATTATTATTATTTTGGTATTGATATTACCATCCTTGGAGCTTACAATCTAGGAGGGAGGGAATAGTGGTACAGGAGGAAATAGCTGTGGGGGATGGAGTGGTAGGAAGAGTGGAGGAGATCGGTAATTAGCTGAGGGGGGGTAGGCTTCCCTGAAGAGGTGGGTTTTCAGAGTGTGCCTAAAGGTGAGGAGAGTAGGTGACAGTCTGATACATTGGGGTAGGGAGTTCCAGAGGATGGGGGGAAGCCCTGGAGACGGGCATGGGAGGAGGAGACCAGGGAAATAGAGAGCAGGACGTCTTGTGAGGAGCAGAGAGTACGTTTTGGGTGGTATTTGGATACCAGATCAGTGATATAGTTTGGGGCAGTATTACGAACAGCTTTGTACGTCAATGTACTTTTTATATTTTTTTTTTTTTTTTTTTTTTTTCATTTTTCCATCTACTTTGCAAGATGTCGATTGTTACAGCATTGGTTATCCCCAGCAATGAGCTCTCATGTTTGTTCTGACTGTGATTGGTTTATGTATGTGACGTATGCCACTACATGTATTCCTCTGAATGATTGTTTTTTTTGCCCTTTTATTTGTTTATGTACTCCTTTTGTAATAAAAAAAAAGTTTGGATAAAAAAAAAAAAAACATTTTCCAGGGGAAGAAGTTTTGAACTTGCTGCAATGTAATTTTCATTTTATTATGGGCCCTCTCTTTCTCCATAGAGTAGGGGGCCCTTTTATTTTGCTCGTATTCGTACATTTACAAGAACATAACCTAAAACCTGTTTTTTCTCTCTTTTCTCTCCCTGGATACAGAATCGTATTTGGACCCAATCTTCCTGGCTGCACAGTCTTCCGCCTCATTAGGAGGATTATTTTTACTTCCACGTAGCAATTGCACATTGATTTAAGACCCCATGATCCCCAGGACTCAGCGAAGTTCCTGCCCAGAGGAAGCAGATTGTGCGGAGTCAGGCATCTGATGTGACTTGATTTGAGGACTGCGTTACATTCTCCCGGGAGCACGGAGCTTTGTCATGGAGCTGAGGCCCGCCGTGCTGTTTCTGCTTTGGACTCACCTGTCAATATTGTTCACAGAGTTGACTGGACACAAAGTATATACAAATACTTGGGCAGTCCGAATACCGGGTGGTCCTGCAGAGGCTGATCGAATAAGTAAGAAACATGGCTTCGTTAACCATGGGCAGGTGAGTGACTCTTGGTGTAACTAGCATAAAGTACAACTGTAAATGTAATAAACATAAAAAAAGAGAAGTGTGGGGGAGTTATTGTCCTCGTCCTTAAAACTGGGAAGGTACTAATAAATATTCAATGTTTAAAACCCAACTGGGAAAAGGAGGGAGGGCGGACAGAATCTACCCTTGTGGTGTGGGTTTTCCAGCACTGCAAGGGTTAAATGCTTAAGTCCTGCTCTCTCCTCTTGTCCTTGAAACTCCAGCCTACGGGTGGTCCCTCTGCATCACCATGTACAATGCAATGTGTGCGCTGGTGCTTAGGAAGGAGGCTGCAGCAACCCGGGCGCACTGCTGTAGAGACCCTGCTGGAGTACGGTAGGCATTTCTACCTATTCTGGCACGCTTAGATCTAATGAAGAGTTAAATGGGGGGGGGGTGGATTTTTTTTTTTTTGTTGGCCAAGAATTAATCTTTTAACCACTTCATGTGTGGACACTTTTACTCCCTACCTGTCCAGGCCAATTTTCAGCTTTCAGTGCTGTCGCACTTTGAATAACAATTGCGCGGTCATGCAACACTGTACCCATATGAATTTTTTTAGCATTTTTTTGAGACAGATAAAACTTTATTTTGGTGGTATTTATTCACCACTGGGATTTAAAATTTTTTTGCTATATAAATGAAAGTTCAAACATTTTGAAAAAGTGTTTCTAAAATTTTGCAAGTAATCTTTCTGCATAAATCTTGGCCAACATTTATTCAGCTATCTTTTTTGTAAAAAAAAAAAAAAAAAAAAAAAAAAACCCAAATTAGTTTATAACCAAAAAAATTATATTTTTTCAAAAAATGTTTTTTAAATTTTTTATTTTTTTTATATTTATTTTTGTTTTTGTTTTTTTTTTTACATATTGTCACCCTAGCTGTACAATGTTACCATAGTGACACTGTACTACTTGTGGAGGGTGATAAATATATTTTTTTATTTTTACACTGATTTTTTACACCCAAAAAAGCTGTAAAAACAATAATTTCTCCCTCTCTCTGGCTGCATTTTAGTAGCCATTGAAAAATACTGTGTGAGCTGTGATTGGTCACAGCTTGTCACATGGTACAATGCTGTTGTGAATAGCCTTGTACCATGTGATCTCTGTGATCATTCACAGATTTCACACATAGTAAGCAATGATGTCAGGAAGTGACATCTTGCTTACACCTATTCATATGATCACTGATTGGCCAATCAGTGATCCCATGATCGGGACCTCACACAGAGGTCCCGTACAGCGACCTCAGCGTACAGCGGGCACCAGATCGCGGTGCCGTGCGCTCCCAGTGAGCGCGCACAATCCAAAATGGTGTGTGCCAGTCGGGAAGTGATTAAAGGGTAACTCCACTTTAATGGGAAAAAGTTGCAAGTAAAAAAAAAAAAAATGATTATTGCATATACACAATTCATATTGTGATTGAATGTTATTAAAAATGACCTTTCGTTTGCAATCTGCAGAATTGTGGGGGTTTTTTTTTTTTTTTTTCTGTAAAATTCAATGCAATATAGCAACCTGGAGGTGTTCTGTAAATGTCATTTCCTGCTTGTGTGATTGGCTTACTGATTTTCCCAGATGTATGCACTACGATTACTCTGATTTTGGCCATCCCCTACAAAAAAAGTGTAATTTTTGGTGAGTTGCTCCCAAGGAAATTGCATCTAAAGTGATGCAGACCCTGCCAATTTCCTCGTTAGAGCTCTGCAAGTGCAGCAGCTGACTGAGAGTGAAAAAAAAAAAATCACCCCCATTCACATTCCACATGGGCACAGACAACCAGGCAATTTCTCTGAATAACAAGGTAGAAATCTGCAACAAAGTTTGAAAAATCCTTGCAATGTATTAACCCGGAGGGGAATCTGTTTTGTTTTTTTTTGTTTTTCCCTCAGCAAAAGTAGAATTACTCTTTAAAGCTTCAGACTGATCTAAAAGGCACAGCAGCACTTGGACTAGGAGGAGGGGGGACTGGAATGGAATTGGCTTGGACTGAAAGAGGGAGGGCAGGAGTGGATATAGGAACCGGACAGGATGCATGCAAATGTGCTAACAAAGTACATGCTAATTGGAGGAGAGAGCAGAGTGAGGAAATGACTTCCCTTATTAGTTTGCTGCTGCTTGTTCATTGTGCAGTCAGCTGGATGTGGGTGCAGATTTCTGCAGTTGCTGCCCTCCACCTGGCTGTGATTTGTCGCAGGGCTGTGTAAATCTCTGGACTGGATGGACAGCCATGAATACAGCTCCTTACATGGGTTTCATCTGTGTATTTAGATATTGGACTAGAGATTGACTTTTTGCCTCTTTGCTGCTTGTATGTTACCATATGAGCACTAGAAGATTAGCTTGTAGGAGATTAGATTCAATGACTGCAGTAACCGATTGGTGTATAGGAACATCACTGTACATGACACCCACTATCCTGCACCCTAATCTTAGAGCTGCTATAGTACGGGTATGAAGAAAATGTGTGTGTGTGTGTGTGTGGGGGGGGGGGGAGGGAGTGGAATTCAGTGGTGGTGCTGGGAGGGGTGTCAAGTTCAGTAAAGTAAAAGTTTGCTTGTTGCTGGTGGTTGATGCTGCTGGCTATGACATATGACATATTGGTGTCACATAGCTGCTTTGGATTCTTGAGATTTTTTTCGGTTTATGATTGTAATGTCCACGAACCTGTTTAGTGGCAGATCTGGGTTATTTGTGGGATTTTTTTTTTGTCTTTTTTTTTTTTTTTTTTGGTGCAAGCAACAAATGTATTATACAAGTAGGTCCTGTTTTAAATTGGTGTCTAAAAATACATGAACTGGTAGATTTATAAATGTGTATGGAATTGCTGTGCATGTTCGTCATGCCCTTTTTTTTCTGATCTATTTTGCATTGCCAACCTGAAAGGCTGTAAAAAAAATAAAAAGAAATTCATAAAAAAGAACTTCATAGATTCTATAGAACAGATTCTAAATTTTTATGGAACAGGAAGAGTCTCCCATTGCCAGATATAGTAGTATTCTGATAGGCGGCAGTTGTGGTTGTCAGTATACCCAGTCGGCCAAAAGGTTACAGCCTACATGGTTCCACCAATTTTTTTTTTCTGCTCGGGTCCTTTGGATTCTCAATTGAAGTTTTTTTGAGCTGGGTGGTGTCAGCAAGGCCACCCATGGCCTAAATTTGGTCTGATTCATGCAGAATTTATGCCATGTATAGCAACGGTTAGAGAAACCTCAAAAGGTAATTAGGATCTCTTTTTAGGAAAATTTTTTTTCTTTCCTACACATTTCATTAATGTTCTTTTATCTGTATCCTTTTTTGGTATGGTTTGTATTGCTTGGTAAATGAACGCTGTTTTATGGCTCATTACAGAGCAGTTCTGTTGTGTTCCTTTCTTTTGCTTAATTTCTTCAGTGCAATATAACTGGTTTCATTTTCTGTACAGGTTAATAATAATCCCTGCTGTGCTTATTCACTTTAAATGGGAAGCAAGTTGAGTTTGCCTTTTTCGTTTTGTTGAGTCTATTGGCCCTTTTTTAAAGGACAAACTGTAAATTGTATGTTTATGCACAAAAAAAATTATTTGATGGCAATCTGCATACACCGGCACGCAAACTTGGCTTTGACTGTTCTACACAAGCCAGTTTGGACTCTATGGTGAGTAGCAAGATATTGATCGATTTTTGCATTATATGAGTATGGCTAAATTTGTACTATTTGGTCAGACAGTCCTGTCTAGGGCTATAGAGCAGTGGTCTCCAAACTGTGGCCCAAGAGCCGAATGCCACTCTTTGCTATTCTTTTTCCAGCCCTTGGTCACTATTCCTCCCAATGACATGAGGCACTTTTTCTCCCACTGTCATCAAGAGTTGGGTCTAATTTCTGCCACTGACATCAATGTGGGGGCACTATTCCTCCCACTAATATCAATAATGGGGCGCTTTTTGTCCCACTGATACCAGCAATGAGGCACTATTCCTCCGACTGATCTCACTATGGCATTTTCTACCCTCACTGGCCACGATCTTGCCCTCCTAAAGGCTGAAGAACAGTAAACTGCTCTTTGTTTGCTCTAGAGAAGAGGTCTCCAAACCTTTCAAAGTTTATAGGTTTGGCAAAAGAGTCTTCCAGCGGAATCAAGTGCAACCTGGAAATTCCCTGGCCCACGGATGTGAGTGTGGGAAAAAAAAAGATACTGGCTGTTGCCATTCGACCTTATTTGGACAAAATCATTAACCAAACATGACCATGTGGCCATATTAAGTCAAAGATGTCTGCAGCATTCCCAACCCCTTCCTACCAGGGCCATCTTAATAACATTTTGGGTCCCTGGGCAAAGTAGTGCACTAGGTCCCCTGCCAGCCTGCCAAAATTTTAAGCTTCTACTCTCAAGAATCAAAGTATAAATAGTTGATAGAATGAAACATATTTATTAATATTTTCAATAAAATTGACTTTAACCCCTAGACGCCGAGTGCACACAAATATGCAGCCTCTCAGCGTCTCAGCCTTGACACTAAGCGGCGGCATATTTGCGTACCATTTGAAAATACATATGTGCTAAGAGCGTGTGCTCCCAGTACATATATCCGTGACTCACGGAAAGGTCCCGATCTCCCCTTGCGATCGGGACCTTTACCAATCATGTGACCACCGTGACAGTGAATCACAGCGAGGGAAAATGTCACCAGCACACCAAGGATCACCAATATTGGTCCAAAAGTTTTAGTGAACGATCACATAGTTACAGCAAGGCAACGTTTAGGAGTCTCGCAGGACCCCTTCATCAGGCATTTGACTTACGGTGGTCACGTGACCCTAAAGCCCAGCCTCCCGGTTTCTGAAACCTCTTAAAGGGCTGGGAGGTGCCGGCGCAAAGGGGTTAAACAATAAGAAAACATGCCATAAATCAAAGACTAATCAACACGAAGGGAACAGTAATTTGGGGGGGAGGCAGAAGGGCACAGTACTGGTTCTGGGACAATGCCTGGACTGTCCAAGGACCACTTGGTAAAAAAAAAAACATGACTGTCCTAGCAAATCTTTGCTAGTATGCAGTAATTGAATATTACCATGGGGCCCCCATACACCTGGGTCTCCTGGGCAGCGCCCATGCATTAACACATCCCTGCTTCCTGCATTTTTCACATTTCACAGTAATTCCCCTTCAGGTAGCTTAACAACACTGGGCAGCTCACCTTGGCAATCCTTTGCAGCTCTCATCCAAGCTCAAATGTCTGCAGCTCCCCTCTTGCCAAGATGCAACATTCCAGCTCTTAACCCTTAACTTGGTGGCCTAGATCTCCGAACCTTACTGTCCCCTGTTGAATTTTAGATTAGCTTATAACTCCCAATATATACAGTATAGATCTCGAGAGCTGACACACTCCTGCTGTCGTCAGTCAATCCCTTCGTTCTGCTGGGAGAGACCTACTTCAGGGGACCTTGGGGACCCAACCCTAATATGAACTTTTCCTGCAGTAGGTCTCCTCAGTGGGATCAATCACCAGGCGTACGGAACTGGCATCCGCACAGAGCGTGACAGCTTTGGAGATCTGTGTGTTGGGGGGAGTTGGGTTAATGGCTTCTGTCATACATGGATGCAATTTCAGAAGAATAACCATTCCTTATATAGAAGGGTGTACACTTTGTGGGGGCTATCCGCAAATACAGCAACAGAAGCTGCTGTAGATATAGGAAAAAAGGAGCCTAGACGTTGTGGGTTCAATCACTAAATATTTTGGTATGGTAAAAAAAAATGTTTAAGATCGTCTTCACTGAGAAAAGAAACCATCTTTTCAGCTGCATTAAATAATAATTGCAAAGCCAGAAGGAAAATCCTCTACTAAAGTGAAGAGTTTGAAATGAAAATGCAAATCCTAAAGTTGTCATTGACGTGTAGGAGATAGACATGGGCTAAGCACGCTGTGACAGGAAAAACTGAGATTTCCTTGAACAGCCTTATCTGTAGCTCCACTCATCCTAATGAAATGCAGTTTTTACTGACGGTATCCTCTGCCTTTGTTTTGGGTTTTTTAAATCATGATCTCAGTTTAAATTTTCTTTGTTTTATTATGGCGTTGCTTTAGAATCCCAAAACCTGACCCGTATAAATGATACGGTCATCTGGGAATCAAGTAGTTAAATGAATAACCTGTCATTTTGGGATAGCAGGGTGGTGGCGTAGGAGCCACAATGTGTTAATTTCTGTTTTGTTAGCGTGTTTGTTTTCAGAGAGCGCGGTTATAAAGTTTGCGTGACTCTGAACACACAGGTGGCTCTTAACAAGGCCTTCTGTTCGGCAGCCTTTTGTAACATAAGCAAATACTTGTCTACCTGAGATTTGTGATGCTGTCCTATACAAATATTGTTCTGAGAATCTATTTCCTCTTCTGAGTGTAGTTCTGAATGTCCTTTCTTGTTCATATAGCTTGATAGTAGTGTAGGTACCTAATGGCTTTTAAAGAAGACTTTCTCAACCTTTTATCACAGAGGAACCTTTAACATTTTCAGGTCTCGGGGAACTCCTTCTAAAACCAAATCATTGGGTGTCAGAACGAAAAATGCCCCTTCGGTATCCAGTGGGCAAATGGTATTGGTGGCCAGAATGCCATAGTTTCAGATAGGGGTTTTTTTTTTTTTTTCCCCTCTCCAAGAATAGGTGCAGGTACTCTCCCCCATCCCCTCTTCCAAGTTGCCCCTTGTTGTCCCCCACCCAACTCTCAGCACTGTTCCTTGGTTCCACCCCTGCCCATTTTCCAGTACTGCCCCTTTTAGAGAACACATAACCATGTATCATTTTTATGGTGCTAAGAAATTTTGTATGGAACAATAGATCTCCCAGCGGCCAGCATCAATAGACCCTCCAGCAGCCAACAACAATAAACCTATCCCTCAGCAGTAGATTCCCCTTCCTAGGGAGAGTAGATTCCCCTTCCTAGGGAGAGTAGATTCCCCTTCCTAGGGAGAGTAGATTCCCCTTCCTAGGGAGAGTAGATTCCCCTTCCTAGGGAGAGTAGATTCCCCCTTCCTAGGCAGAGTAGATTCCCTTCCTAGGGAGAGTAGATTCCCCTCCACCAGCAACAAAAGACCCTCCCACACCCCTTGCCATACCATACATTCAGCGCTGGAACTGCGTTCCTCCACATTCGCGCTGAAAAAAAGCCCCAGCTAAAAAGAAAATCATTGGTGTCATGCCAATGGCTCTTCCAAGTGGTGTTGGTCCTGAAACTATGCAGGCACCATAAGATATGAGGTCAATCGGCTGCATCACCCCTCGCAAACTCTGCAGAAACCCTAGAGTTCTGCGGAACCCTGGCTGAGGATGGCTGGTAAGGCAAGTATAAGGGTTCATGTACTGCAGCTGATAAACTGACGTTCATGAGCTTTTCTGTGGGTTTTTTTTTTTTTCTTCAGCAGCCCTTGAACTCTCCCCAGTGTTTTCCTATGTGTCCATGTACACATAGTCGTTTACAGTCTTTGTTTTAACGCACCAAACTTGCGTTCCGGAGTAGATTTTATCAGCGTTCCAAACGCTTGTAAACACGGTTAACCGCGTTTAGAAGTGTTTGCGTTTTGAAGCATTTTTTTTTTTAACTCTTCCATATCCAGATGCAGTCCAGAGCCTTTTTTCATCATCAGAAATGCATGCAAAGCATTTTCCATGTATTCAAATGGACCCAGTACACCAGCGCAGTTAGTTCCAGGTTTTGCATGAAGGGGGAAAAATGGTAAAACGTGCTGCATTATGCTCATGATGGGATCCATAGTGAATACAACCAGAAAAGACAGGTCATTTCAACACATACTGCTCCCTCTGCTTCTGCTCTCTTTCTCTCAAAATGTCTGAAATAGTTAATTTTTTACTTCATTTCAGTGCATTCTGGGCATTTTGGAAGGTCTCCTGAGGTTATCTTAAAAAACCTTTTCTAAACGCAAATGCACATAAACGGTTTGCAAATGTGTCTAAACAGATGTTTTTTAACCTAAGTTTTCCAGCAATCGGTTTCCATCGTTCAGAAGTGTTTGCCAAATGTCCTGTGTACATGAGCCCTTAAAATGGTCAATTCTGACTCGTCTCCTCAGCCGTTTATTGTGTTGAAGGAACATTCAGCTGTTCTTTGTGCTGCGCTGATGTCCAGGTACACAAAGCGACTTTGCAGATATTACCTATTATGTCTGGCTTTTTTCCCCTCTGCTTTTGAGTTGTTATCCCATATCCAGCACAGTGTAAACATTGCTTTGTTTATAGTCAGCCTGTCTGTACACATTAGTGTACAGAGAAGCATCTGATTAGCGCTGGACTGAAAACACCAAGGAAGGAATCTGAGATCTCTTTAGCTGTTCATTCTGGTTTCCACAATTAGATGACTCGGATCACGTGGTATGAAAGGATCGGAAGAGCTTAGCTGGGCTCATGCCGTGGTTTCAGCTTCTGATCTGTGTCTTCGGTGATTAATGGTTTTCTGTGCAAGTGCTTTGGAGTATACAGATCATCATTCCTTTCTCCTAGTACTGAAGATATTGAATCAAACTGGTATGTGGAACAGAGGAACGCATACCTTCCTTGTTCTTAATTCAGACTTGCTGTTTGTTGTGTTGATCGGTGCAGACAGGCTTGGTGTAAACAAAGCCATGTCTTTGGGCATGTAGTGACTCTTCTCAATGCAGAACAGCTATGGGATTAAGAGGTATTTCCTGGTCCGTTGTAGAAAAAGAAACAAAACCATGTGCACATGATAAATTGCCACATCAAATGGTTTCTTTTTATTCATTTTGCTTGTATCTTATTGATCATTCCACCAACACTAAAAACCAGCATTGATGATTTTCAGTGTGTGGTATATTATCAGGATTAGAATGTTTAAAAGAGAAGTATGGGTATTTTTTTATATATATATATATATATATATATATATATATATATGCACCTAGGTAGATGCAGCATATCAGTCCAATGTTTCATCTGTTCTCCACTGGTTCTAAGGCTGAGAACTGAGCGATCAGACACCGCTGATCACTCAGTTCTCCCCTCTTCTCTGAGCAGAGAGCCATGGCTGTCTGTCTATGGCTCTCCCCCCCTTCCCCAGTGCTCACTGGAGTGCTGAGCTGTGGAGGGGGCAGATTGCCGAGAGGCTGAGCCAGGCACCAGTCCAGGCTCCTGAGTGGATCCCGACCCTTTCCCCGTCCTGGGCTTGGTCACAAGAGTGCAGAACGAACCACACTCCTGTGATCCACAGGAGAAGTACAGCCAAACGAGCTTTGGCTGTACTTCTCCTTTTAAACTTTTCTCATTAAAGAGGAACTTCAGTCCCCTTTGATTATGGCTCTGCCCCCTCCACTGGCACCTCCATTTTCAATAGTCGAGCGCATGCACCAGGTCTCCCCTCCTGTAGCTTTCTGCAGTCAGCCTGTAGGGGGTGCAGTCTGCTGGGTCCCTTCCACAGCTTTGCTCTCTGCTCAGTTTATGTAGAGCACAGTGATGACATCACTGCTACTTTTACAAGGTTATATATGGGTTTGCAATGGTGCATAGTGGTGTGGACCTTACTGTATGTCCCATGTGGCTAGTGAGGAATATATTTAAATCAATTCAGCTTTAAGGCTAGCCATACATTATACAATTGTTCTTATTTAACCACTTCAAGTCCGGATACTCTTACCCCCTTCCTGTCCAGGCCAATTTTCAGCTTTCAGCGCTATCACACTTTGAATGACAATTGCGCAGTCATGCAACACTATACCCATATGAATTTTGTAGCATTTTTTTGAGACAGATAAAACTTTATTTTGGTGGTATTAATTCACCATTGGGATTTTAATTTTTTTTTTTTTTTGCTATATAGATGAAAAAGTCCAAAGATTTGAAAAGTGTTTTTTCTTATGAAATTTAGGAAATAATCTTCATAAATCTTGGCCAAAATGTATTCAGTTATATTTTTAATAAAAAAACTAACCCAAATTAGTTTTTATAACCAAAAATTATAATTTTTGTAAATTTTTTTTTTTTTTAATTTTTATTTGTTTTTTGGGTTTTTTATTTTTATTTTTAACATGCTGTGACACTGCACTACTTGTGGGGGGTTATGAAGTTTTTTGGGTTTTTTTTTTCATTTACACTGATTGCTTTTACACCCATAAAGGCTGTAAAAGTATTCGTTTCTCCTTCTCTCTGGCTGCATTCTTGAGGCCATTGAGAAATACTGTGAGCGCTGTGATTGGTCACAGCTTGTCACATGGTACAAGGCTGTTGTGAATAGCCTTGTACCATGTGACCTCTGCTTACTATGTGTGAAATCTGTGAATGACCACAATGATGTCAGAAGTGACATCTTGCTTACTACTCTTCATGTGATCACTGATTGGCTCAACAATCGGGGATCCACTGTGTCCGGAGGACACAGCAGACACCAGATCGCGGTGCTGTGCACTCCCAAGGAGCACGCACAAGCAGGGGGCAGGGAGGCCATTTATATACATGGGCCGGACGGGAAGTGGTTAATTGCATTTATATTTATCTTCAACTATGTAGTGTGAGGGCCTGCCTGATTGCATACAAATTGAAAGTGTTTGGGTTTGACCCCCTATTATATGGTTTTGGTAAATTTTAAAGGAAAATTGTACAAGAAAATGGTATGATGTGTGGGCAGCCTAAACCACTTGCCAACCGTGCTATAGCCCAATGACGGCTACAGCGCAGTTGTTCAGTTCTGGGAGGGCTTCATATGACGTCCTCCCAGAACGTGCCCCCAGCGATCACCATGATCAATGTGTCCTATGGACACAGCTGATCACGTGATGTGGTAAAAGGCCAATCACAGCGACCTTTTACCACGTGACCAGCTGTGTCCTATGGACACAGCAGATCATCAGTTAATGCAGTTGCCAGTTATTGGCTGCACTTTCCTTGCGCTGTCACAGGGGAAAGTACTGCAGATAACCGGCAATTGACAGAGGAGGGATTGGCACTGATCATTAGGGCACTGATGATCAGTGCCGCCCATCGGTGCCACCCAGCAGTGCCGTCAGTGCCACCAGTGCCCATCATTGTTGCATATCAGTGCCGCCTATCGGTGCTGCCTCATCAACGCACATCAGTGAAGGAGAAAAAGTACCTGTTTGCAAAATTGTATAATAGAACCAAAGAAACTTTTTTTTTTTTTTTTGCTATTTTTTTCTTTATAGCACAAAAAATACCTCCAAAAGAAAGTTCTATTCATGTGGGAAAAAAATTATAAAAACTTCATATGGGGACAGTGTTGCATGACCACATAAGACCACGCAATTGTCATTCAAAGTGCAACAGTGCTGAAAATTGGCCTGGGCACTAAGGAGGGGGGGTATAAGTGCCCGGTAGGCAAGTGGTTAAGGCTTCATTCAAATCTGTTTGTTCCGTGAACACACAAACACGTGTTGCACATGTTGTACCAATACATTTTTAACTGAGCCCCCAACATGGCCAGCAAGATTCACTAAAACTTGCTGTAAAAAAACAAAACCGGCTAAACTCTATGCCTGGAAAAGGTACAGGAGCTTCTTTGGCGTGTTTTCGAGTTTAGAGCAGCACATCCAAATGAATGGGCTGCCCAATGCGCGGCATGTGAAACATCTCAGCAAACGCTAAATGTGGACGCAGGCTAAAGGAAGCTCCATTTCTCTATGCTGCATCATGGTTGGTAAACTACCGGGACCTCCTGATTACACTGCAAATGTTAAATGTTCAAAGGTGAACTAACCCCTTTTAATCATGTCCAGCATTACATTTGTGTTTACAGACTATGCATGATGAATTGAAACTGTACCATGAGAAGTAAAGTAAAGAGCTGTATTTTGCAATTCATAAGGAAGTAGAGGTGGAAATCTGCTATGATTAATGTTACACCTGTATTAGTCAGAGCGGCGTCATGATGGAGCTCTTACAACAGACCTCTGATGGATTATCAGCCCTGCCTGCCAGCAGTAGGTTATACCCACAAATGCCTTCCTCACGATCTTTGCCTATCCAGCTGATCGTCTGCACACGCCTAGAGCTGCCCCATGTGGCTTGTATTCCTTGGCACAGTAGGAGGCAGAGCAGCATGGAGTCAGCTGATGCATAGGGCTCTACAAAACACATGCATGAATCATTAGTGTAGGTTTGTGCTCGGGGTCACCATGTAACATTGCATCCTGTGCTGACAGGAGGCCTTGAAAATAAGCACTTAGTCTCTGATTCCTTGTGTTGAAAGGAGTCACAGATGTGAAATGTACTTTTGTCATATAAAAGGATGTCTAAAAATTCCTGAAATGTTTTTGCATAGTTGATAATGTAAAAGTATGAGATTTGTAACTTATTTATATAATACAATTATTTATCTCCTTTTTTTTTTTTTTCTATTTTTTTTTCTATTTTTTTCTTTTCTTTCTCTATCTTTCTCTATCCTTCTCTATCCTTCTCTTTCTTTCTCTCGCTTTCTTTCTCTCGCTTTCTTTCTCTCGCTTTCTTTCTCTCGCTTTCTTTCTCTCGCTTTCTTTCTCTCGCTTTCTTTCTCTCGCTTTCTTTCTCTCGCTTTCTTTCTCTCGCTTTCTCTCGCTTTCTTTCTCTCGCTTTCTTTCTCTCGCTTTCTTTTCTCTCTCGCTCTCTTTCTCTCGCTTTCTTTCTCTTTCTCTCGCTTTTCTTTCTCTTTCTCTCGCTTTCTTTCTCTTTCTCTCGCTTTCTTTCTCTTTCTCTCGCTTTCTTTTTCTTTCTCTCTCGCTTTCTTTCTCTCTCGCTTTCTTTCTCTCTCGCTTTCTTTCTCTCTCGCTTTCTTTCTCTCTCGCTTTCTCTCTCTCTCGCGCTCTCTCTCTCTCCAATGAAGTGGTTTTTTTAGCAGTTTATATTTACTAAAGTAATTGCATTTCCATGTTGTGTGTACTGTGGGAGACCAGATATAGTGAATGCAGGGTCCTGGGTTTAGTAACACTTTAAAAGATGTGCATACAGTATACCCGAGTGATGATTTACAGGAGATTACAAGAGGCTGATAAATTAAGGTACTTAAAGGGAACTGCACTGTATCTGAGCACCGCAAACCAAAAATGCAAATAAATTCATTTTTAATATTCAAAGCAAATGCACCCATCTTTCCATGGCTCCATGCTTTATTTTGAAAAATCATTTTGGCATTGGCCATCTTGATTAAAGGCAAATGATTCATGTAGCAGTTACTTTCTAGAATCCATCTGCCCTTAGCTCAGGCATAAGCTGAGCTGAGAACCTTCCCTCCCCTCCTGAAGATTCCTGGGATGTATGACATAATTTGCCTAGGCATGGAATCAAGGAAGCAACTGAAGAAATGTGTAAAAAAAAAAAAAAAAAAAAAAAAAAAAAAATTATAACAAATATGATATGCTTTCCTGTAAGGATTAAAAATCGTCTGTTGATTGAGAGAGTGAAGTTCCACCTTAAAGGTTATTTTTATTGTATTTTTTGTAAACCTCAGATGAGTAGCGTCTCTTGCGCTGGTGGCTGTTTTTAGTTGAAATGTTCTTCTCTTCTGCCTCATTGACACTCCCCCTCCCCCAGCAGTGGTAATCTTTGGTCTTGCAGGGGTTGATATGAGCCATTGAACTCGTCAACAAGGGTGCCAAATTTTGCCTGCCCTTTATGCCCCCTCTTCCATACATAGAAGCTGTGCTATAGCTTCCAGCAATGAATGGAGGAGGTGGACCTTGCATTCTTTTGCCCATCCTCCATAATGCATTATAGGCTGTTTCTGTCCCCCATGCAGCCTCACCTGGCCCAAATGATTCATTGTTTTACATCTCTATATTCTGGGTTAATTGCAAAATGCAGATAGTTGCACCTAAAAATATATTAAATAATAAGTGCATTGGCTGTAACCCTGAACTCCAGGCAGATGTTAACAACTGCAGCTAATGGCGTCTTCATATCTATCTCCTTTAACCCTCTCTTTGCTGCACTGGGGGTGTTAAGAAATGGTAGGAGCCAGTTGGTCTGTACAACAGGGGCACGTTTGCTGGCATGATCTCACCGGTGTGCTGCTTCTTTCATCATTCAATGACTAAATTGTTGGGGGGACCTCCAGATAGTGCTACAGTGGAGGTCAAGTACATGAACTGTCTGACAAGGGCAGATGGATCACAAGATTGTCATGCGGAGAGCTGCAAATCCTTTGGCAGGTATAATGGCACCCATATATTGTTGTAGAACATATTTGGCCATTTGCCTGGACTTCAGCTTCAACTGTAGAAGTAAAATGTTTTCTCTGTTGAGCTTTAGACTTAAATGTTAATCAGGTGAATAATCCAGCCACTGAAAAGATCTTGCTGCTGCTTCTTTTTTTTTTTTTTTACATGTATTTGAATACTTTTATGAAACCTTTGAAGATGGGAATTTGAAAGTCTGGTTGCTATAATTATTTCTGTTGATGCCCCATAAACTACCCAAAGTTGCTGGAACCCTGATATTACATAAAAGGCATCTAGCGTCTGCTCATTCTTTGTGCATAGGGTCTGATTGACTAATGATAATAAAGACAGCTGTCTATGGTTTTCAGAAATATACGCTAGGAGCATAAATATCAATTTAGGTCCACTTCAGTGGACATTGGAGGGGTTCTCATTCCCTTTTAATCAGCTATTTTGTGCTGAGCACTCCGTTTTATT